TTTTACTATTGAGGCCTTGAAGGCCAAAGAAGAGCACATTAAACAGAAACTAACAACGTGTCTAGATCAGACCACACTTCAGCAAGTGATGCACTGTACAGGTCAGGCACGCTTAGCACAGCATGTCAAGTCCAAGACTCGACAACAAAACAAGTTTAATTTACTAATAGCTCATCAACACCATCACAATTCCAATAACAACACATTCAGTGTAGGACAACAATCCAGTAGTCAATTACATGCCAGGGAGACAGAAAAGTGGGTGAAGAATTTATCTGACAGACAGCTCACCCAGCCGGAGACAAAGATTCTTGCCAGGGGACTGAACTTTGCAGTTGCACCACGTAGACTTCCTCTGGTGGAGATGATCACAGCCACAGAATCAACCATTTGCAACAACAAAATTAAAGAGGCTGAAGCAGAACAACTCGGAATCAAAGTTTCAGCCTGCCTCAGCAATGCCAAACCACCACCTTCCAACATCAGTAGAGAGGAGAGGGATGCACTCACCACTCTTAGCAAGGACAAAAACATCATTCTCCCAGCAGACAAAGGAAGGTGCACAGTGATTTTGAACCAGAAAGACTATCATAAGAAAGTTATGACACTCCTTAGTGACTTAAACACTTATGAACCTCTGAAAAGAGATCCAGTAAATGGTTACAAGAAAAAGTTGATAGATTGCCTGAAAATTTTGGAGCAGGACAAGGCTATTGATCGTTTTCTGTACCACAGACTGTACCCAGGGGAGGCCACACCTAGTCTGTATGGTTTACCTAAAATTCATAAACAAGGTGTACCTTTAAGACCAATTGTTAGCATGATTACCTCTGTCACTTACAATGTTTCCAAATATCTGGTGTCTGTACTCATCCCTTTAGTTGGCAGCTCAGAACATCACATACAGAACACCATGGACTCTGTGGATAAGGTGAGGGATGTCACCATGGAGACTGATGAAACAATGGTCTCTTTTGATGTCACATCACTCTTTACGTGCATTTCTGTTGATGATGTAGTAGAGGTGGTCAGTTTTAGATTAAAATCAGACACCACCCTGAGCAGCAGGACCACGCTTTCCACAGAGCAACTGTGTCAACTCTTGAAACTGTGCCTGCAGTCAACCTACTTCACATATGGGGAGCAATATTATGCTATAAGGGTCTCCAGTTTCTCCTATTGTTGCCAACCTGTACATGGAGGAGGTAGAAAAGAGAGCCTTGACGTCCTTTTCAGGGACACCACCAAGTCATTGGTTCAGGTATGTTGACGACACCTGGGATAAAATTAAATCTCGGGAAGTCCAACATTTTACTGATCACATCAACTCTGTGGATAAATACATTAAGTTCACACAAGAAGATGTAAAAAATGGCAGGTTGGCTTTCTTGGACTGTGAGGTCTCAGTCTCTGATAGAGGACATTTGCAAACTGAGGTGTACCGCAAACCCACCCACACAGACCAGTATTTGCAGTTTGACTCCCATCACCCTTTGGAGCACAAGTTAGGAGTCATCAGGACTCTGTATCACAGAGCAGACAGCGTCCCCACTAGCTCAGGAGCCAGGCAGAAGGAGAAATCCCACACAAGACAGACCCTGGACCAGTTGTTCTCAATTATTTTCTGTTACGCCCCCCAGGAAGAAGTAAACATTTCGTGCCCCCATCTCTCCGCCGCAACTGTAAATAGTATCATTTGTCTATAAAAGTGTTATAAGTACACCTCTGCATAACATTGTACCCTTATTAACATTAAATAAAAAAGAAAGAAATACAATTATTAACATTGTTTTATAGTCTGTAACAGAAAAGGATTAAAGTGCATCAATTTGCCTGAAATAAAAAATATATATCCTGATTTAAACTGTAAACATTTTGACCATTTGATACTGAACAATCAAATTAAATACAATCAATAAATGATAATAAATCCAAATTGATCAGCAACATTTTAACTCAGGAGTGTTATATAAAACACTTTGACCTACAAAACAAAAATGAATAAAACAATTTTGTTTTTATCAAAATGATTAAGTCAGGATTAATGGCTACAATGAGCACGTTTTGCAGTGCACAGCTTTTTGAAGCAGAGTTTGAAACATGATCCTGCAGCTCTCAGCTCCTGCTCGATGTTTAGCTGGACCTGGACCTGGACTTGGTCTCAGAGCAGCAGAGAAGCTGCAAAGAGCTCAGAGCGAGCTGGCAGGTGTGTGTGTTTGTGTGTGTGGGGGTCCAGGTGAACGCGCTCACAAGGGAAGAACCTGACAAGTTATTTATTGACATAAAATATATTTTGT